GGGCGGGGCGCCCAGCCGGGATGCGGTGAAGGCTGAGCGGCAGCGACTGCGGCGATGAGTGCCTCTGCGGCCACCGGGGTCTTCGTGCTGTCCCTCTCGGCCATCCCGGTCACCTACATCTTCAATCAGCTGGCAGCCCAGCACGAGTGAGTGAGTGGGCGCGGCGGGGGTCGCAGGGGGGCTGTCATCCTGCTCTGTGGAGCGGGCAAGATTCAGCAACTTTTCAGATCGGGTTTTGAACTGCAGGGTGGTAGGTGCACCGGGTCAAGGTCTTGCTGAGACTGGCATCGTTGACATTGGGCATGATTCAGGAGCCAGATGCTGGGCGCCTGCTCCGTGCCAGCTAACTGGCACTACAGAGGTCAAGGAGGCAATCCCTTTGCCCTTGCAGAGCCCGAGGGCCAGTGGGGGGGCGGTACAAATCGGAAAAATCCCAAGCGTGGCCATATACATTATTCCATTATGCCTTGTTCATTCAGTTTCTCCTTACAAAGGAACGTTTCCATGTATGGACATGCACATCTTACCATTTCTTGAAACTGTGGTGACAGACCTTCAGGAATAGTCCCAAACCATCAGAGAGAAGATATGGGTTCTAGGCAAGGCTTTGGCACTAACGTGTGTGACTCGACCTCACTTTTTGGTCTGTCAAATGGTCTATATTTGGATTCTATCCTAGTGGAGCTCTAGTGACCTAGTGCGTTGATACTTGAGATGTTAATCCTAAGAGCAGTTCTCGGAGTTCAAACCCACTAGCTGCTCTGTGGCATAAAGATGAGCAGTCTCCTCATGTGCAATTTACAGCCTCTGAAAACCCACTTCGGGCTCAGCTATGAGTCGGTTCCCACTCTTCAGCAATGAGTTTTCAAATTTTTTTTTAAATTTTTATTGTATTATTTTCACATGTACCGTCAAATCAGATCTTACTGGTACAGGAGGAGATTGCCCCCTCCTTCTCCAGCAGAGCATCTGGTGGATTTGAACCGCAGAGTTTTCAAATTTTGATCATAAGGATCCAGTGAGATTTGTTTGTGAATGGGAACAGCTACTAATAAATGTCTGCCTTGCGGTCGTATGGGGAGATGGGGCGGGGAAGTTTCAGTGCTACGGTGGCCCGATGGTTGGTTCAGAGGCCTGCCTCCCACTCCTTTGTGGGTAACCATCAACTAACCAGCCCTGTACCAGGTAGCAGAAAACCTGCAAAGGCAGTGCAAAAACTGAGCTTGCTCTTGCTTGCTGTCTGTAGGGAGGGGGAAGTAACCTGTTATGGCTCCTACAGCAGTTGGCCTGAGGAAATTACATCAGTCAGTTGGCAACAACTGCCTTCCAGTCCGTCAGGCCTGTGAAGTGTCTGCCCACAGGGTAGTGACTTCCTTCCCTCTCCCCACTGTTGCCACCACTTGCTGCTGGCTTTATCTGGACGGAGCTGACAAGGAGGGACAGGGTCTGCCCTGGCCTGACCCAGTCTTGGGACACATCTCCTTGAAGAAGCAGTTTCCAGCGCAATTGTATGTCTTGTGTCTGTGAACATACTGCTCAGGAGACCCTAAAATGGCATTTGTGGCCACTTTAACCTGTATTTATTGGTTATCCTGCTGTGTGCTTGCCTTTGTTCCAGGTGATGAGGCTATAGCTTTGAACAAGCTAGAAAAGGTTGGAGAGGTGTGTGTAGGGAAAGATATCGACAAAGATATATTAGAGTAGGGGTAGTCAAGGATGGCTTCTTAGAGGAGGTGGCACTAGAGCTGCAGGAGACAGCCACCAGAAGAGCTGAGAACATAGCCTTCTCTGCAGGAGAACAGGAAGCAGTATGGGGGAAGGAGTGGGTAGCTGTGGGGGTTATTTTGAAAGGAGAGCAGATGGACTTGCTGATTGCATTGCAATAAAGAGAGGATTTGGGGGATGACTCCTAAGTTTGGGGCTCAGCTATGGGAAGATGGTGATGGCATTTACCAAACATAGACTGAGTTATGTATTGCTGCTGGCAGTGGTTAAATGTTCAGCTGCTAACTGAAAAAGTTGCTTTTTCAAACCCTCCAGCCACTTTGTGGGAGAAAGATGTGGCAGCTTCCATAAAGAGCGTGGCCTTGGAAACCCCAAGGAGCAGTTCTACTCTGGTGGGATTGCTGTAAGTAGAAATCGACTCGACTCGATGTTAAGGGTTGGTTGCTAAGCCCTACAACGTTTGGGAAAAGTGGATTACTGAATTGGTTCCAACCATTCTTCCTGTCAGCCGGCAGGTGAAAAATCCAGTGCAGCCCTTGACTCTTCCTTCTCCATTCCCTCCCTCTGCTGACCCCTTTCCCCCTAGGATCCCTGAGCTGGTCTCACTTCCTTTTTCCTTCCGTTTCCCTCCAACTCTGCCCTCTGACTTGGATTATGGCAGACCCCTGTCCCTGCACTTTTTCATCCTCAGCACCCTCTTCATGTCCCCATATTAGTGCTTCCACCACCCACACCCCACACTAGCCTCTGCTCTTGGACACTCCTCACACTGTGGGGCCTCTTGGTCTTGCTCACACTGTTCCCTTTGACTAGGAGGCCTCGCTCCCCATTACTGACCATTAGATCTGCACTTGGAGGACTTTATGGGCACAGTAAATGGCCACCTCTTCCTTTCTAGACCCTCTCTCCACACTTCTCTGATCACACCTTTCCTATGATTTCCATTTTCCTGTGTCAGGCTTCTGAGAGCTCACCTGCCCACTTTAGAGCTCATCCCGCCCACATCTGCCTGACAGCATGGTGCTTTGTGTATATCAGGTGTGCAGTTATATTTGGATTTTTCAAATTGAGTGTCCTCTCCACCGGATCTTTATAAAAGTCTACGAAAAAAATGGAGAAAATGAGATTTACATGGAGAGAGTAGGAAATGATTGGGTGATCTCTCTCATGGGTGCATATGCCCACACAAGCGCACGTGCACACACACCTGCCCTCCTTTGAATAGGTGTCTGCCAGTGGAAGGGCATCAGTTATCCTCTTCCAAGACTGATGACTTCATCACTCTTGGGTCAGTCACAGCCTTTCTCTGTCCTCATCCCCCAGTCCCTGCTGGACGTGCGCCTCGCTGTTTTGAGCAGAGCCTGCCCTTGACTGGCATGGAGGATCTCTCAGAACAGCGCCAGGGAGGCAGGGATTATCCATGCTCCAATTTCTGTGCTTTCTCCTCCTTCTCCCTAGAGGCGGAGGGAATGAGAGTGACCTGTGAACCAGTTTCTGCTGCTCTCTCCTGCTCCTCCGGAGCACCAGCTCTGTGGTCACGTTTGCTGTGAACCCAGGGGCTTGGTAGGAACAGGAAGGGGTGTGTGTGCGTCTCCTATCCACCACTTTCCTCAGGCTGCCCTTCAATGAGGTGTCTGCTAGCTCACACAGCACACCTCACACTTCACATGATGCTCATCAGGCCACGCTCATGTCCTTGACCTACTGAGGTTCCTCCTTCCTCTCTGCCTCCCAGGAAATGGACCATCTACTTGTGCACCTCACTAGAAATGTCTTATTTCACTCTTAAGTGGGTCTTAACACTGTCTTCCTCGCTCTTATAGAACACTGTCATTCATCCATTTATCCTTCATTTGTCTATCCTCACATATCCATTCCTCATCCATTCACCCATCCATCCATCCCCAGCCCCCATCCTTTTTTGTATACCATCTTAGAGGTCTCTAGGCTCACTACTGCCTCAAATCATCCAGATATAATTGTCTGTATCTGTCTTTGGGGATTGGTTCCAGGGTCCCAGTTGTTGTTGTTGTGTGCTGTTGAGGTACAACAGCTCTGAACTCTGCCCTATCCAGAGCCAGTCTCACTAACTCCAACACACTTAATCCCGTTGCCAATTATCATGTCAATACATTTCATCCGGGGTCTTCCTCTCCTGTGCTGTCCCTCTACCCTTCCAAGCATGATGTCCTTCTCAAAGGACTGGTTTCTCCTGGCCCCATGCCCCCAAAATGTGAGAAGGAGCTTCAAAATCCTTGCCTCCAAGGAGAAAGTTGGTTTCACCGTCTCCAAGACAGAATTATTTGTTCTCCTGGCAGTCCATGGTATGTTCAATACTCTTCTCCAGCACTGCAACTCAACAGCATCACTTTCTCTGTCATTTTTAGTCATTGTTCAGATCTCTCATGAATAGCATGTAATTGAGAAGACCATGGCCTGGATCAGGTGCACCTTAGTCTCTAGACTAATATCATGGCTCCTCAATACTCTGGAGAAGTCCCTGACAGCAGACTTCCCCAATGCAATTTATCTTTTGATTTCCTGGCTGCCAGTGCCAAGAGTGTTGATTGTGGAGCCAAGCAAACTGAAATTGTTAACAACCTCAATCTCTTCTCCATCCATCATGGCGCTGCCACTTGGCCCCATGATGAGAATCTTTGTCTTCTTGATGTTAAGCTTCAATCCATATTGAAGACAACAGTCCTTGACCTTCTGCAGCGAATACTTCAGGTCCTCTTTAATTTTGGCAAGCAAAGTTGTATCATTTGCGTAATTCAAGTTGTTGATGAATCTTCCTCCAATCCTGATGTCACTCCTTCTCCTCCTCCTCATAAAGTTCAGCCTCTGAAATTATCTGTTCCATATAGAATGAAAAAGTATGGAGACAGGACACATCCTTGATAAACCTCTTTCCCAATTTTGAACCATGCAGTGTTTCCTTGCTCTGTTCTGATGACTCTTTCCTAGTCCAAGTAGTATAAGTTTCACATGAACGCAATAAAGTATTCTGGGATTCCCATTATTCCCAAGGTTAGGCACAATTTACTGTGATCCACACAGTCAAATGTCTTTGCTTAGTCAATGAAGCACAGATAGATATCCCTCCGGTACTCTTTGTTTTCAGCCAAGATCCATCTGACATTGGTAATACTCTCCCTAGTAATACTTTCTCTAATGCCACAGCCTCTTCTAAATCCTGCTTGTATTTCTGGTGGTTCTCCGTTAATGTACTGTTCCAGTGATTTTTGGATTGTCTTCAGCAGAATTTTGCTTGTGTGTGATGATTTCCACACTCTGTTGGATCATCCTTTTTTGGGGAGGGGGATAGGAATAAATGTGGATCTCTTCTAGTTAATTGGCCAGGGAGTTGTCCTCCAGATTTCTTGATACAACCTGGTGAGCATGTCCAGGGCAACATCTGTTCAGAAGAGACTGAATATTTCACTAGCGTGCCAAGAAGACAAAGCAAAGGGACGGAATCAAGAGGTTAAGGAGCTGAACAGAAGATTTCAAAATGCAGCATAAGAAGACAAAGCTAAGTATTATAATGAACTGTGCAAAGAGCTTGAGTCAGAAAATCAAAAGGGCCATCCTAACCTGAAGGAACTGAAGAACAAATTCAAGCCTCAGGTTGCAATACTTAAGAATGCTATGGGTAGAATTTTATATGATCCAGGAAGCATTAAAGGAAGATGGAAGGGGTATGCAGAATGACTATACCAAAAAGAATTGGTGGACACAGAAGAATTTAATGAAATAATATAGTACCAAGAGGTAATGGTGATGAAGGAGGAAGTTCAAGTTGCTCTGAAGGAATTGGCAGAAAACAAGACCCTAGGCATTGATGGAATTCCAAGGTCCCCATGGATAAAAAAATCTGAAGATAGAGTATTTACATATTTATTTTTACTTTATTTTACTTTAGTATTTCCACATTTCTTTTACTACATATTTATTATTGCTGCCCTGTATTCAATCATCTTTAGATTGCTTATAATATCTAACATGATGTTAATGCTTTGTAGACAGCTTTAAGCTCTCTTTTCACCTTTGAGGGCTGGCTTGAACCATTTAATTGTTTCCCTTGAACCTCAGTAGTCTTTTATCCACTGTTGGATGAATCCATGGATGCAGAATGCATAGATACAGTATCTTGAGAAGAGCTGTATACTCACGCGATGGATGAACACAGTGACTGCAGCAGTGTACTCACGTGTGTCAGAGACGATGAGGATGGTGCAGGGGAGGACAGGGTTCAGATCTGCTCTTCACCGGGTCACTGTCTGTCAGTGAACTCCACTCAAAGGCACCTAAAAACCACCACCCTCCCATCCTTGAGGTGTTTGATTTTTCAGGTCGGGGGCAGTATCTGCCTGGAAATCTGGGGGCTGCTAAATCTCTGGCTCTGGGAGGAATGCAAGGTGAAGCAATGAGAAGACGGCTTTCTTGTGCCTCTGGCAGGTCTCCTTGGGGCCCTGTCCACTAAAACTGGAAGGATCGTTGCTCCTGACTGACCTCTGGGAGGAGCTTTCTAATCGGTGCCTCATTCCTTTTCCAGTTACAGACATTTGGAGTGAACTTCAGCACGAGTTTGTCCCTGAGCCATTGACGGGTGCTGTGGGATCTGTGACTGAGGAGGGTGCTTTCTGGAAACCCAGTGGACAATGGATGCTGTTTGGTGAAGGTTGTGCAAAGGCTTTCTGGTGGACTGTGTGGTGTCTCCGCTATGGAGAGGGGCCCACGCGGTGCTAAGTAGTTGTTGAGGAGGCTGGCGTGGCACACCATGGTGGTGTGAGGCGTGCTTGGCCTTCTTGAGAAATAGAAGTCCCGTCAGTGCTGGAGTATGAGGGGGAAAGTATCTATAGGATTAAAGGTGACTTACATTGACTGGGAACTACCAGAAGTTCAAGCTAGTTTTAGAAGAGACCTCAACACCAGGGATATCATTGCTGATGTCAGATGGATTCTGGCTGAAAGCAGAGAATACCAGAAGAATGTCTAAGAATTCTGAGATTGTCCATCTTTATAGAAGCAAATGTCACATTCTTCCAGCTAGTGGGTTTGAATCACCCACCTTTTAGTTAGCAGCCAAGCACTTTAACCTGGGCTCCTGCCCAGCACATAGACGTATGCAATACTGCCCCCCTTTCCCCAATATGTAGCCAAATAAGGGAACTCTGGTGGCCTAATGGTAAGGAACTGTGCTCCCATCACAAAGGCACGAGGTTTGAATCCACCAGCTGTTCCGTGGAAGAAGGACGAGCAGGCTCCTCCCATGCTATTTACTGCCTCTGAAAACCCACCTATGGGTTGGTTCTGATTTGACTTAACCACAACATGTAACCAAAGGATGAAATGGGGTAGCTTTCCTAAGGTCATGCTCAGGGTCATGTAGATGGCATGCTGGAACCTAGGGCACGGGAATGTTGGGCTCGCTTCTGCTCACTCTGAGAACCTCTCACCTTGGCGCTGCCTTGAGAAGGTGGCCCTGGTCATACCCTTTCCCAGGAGAAAGTCCAGGGCTGTGTTTGGCCCTCCTGCTTTGGATGCCCCAGTTTGGGGCTGGATGCTGGCCCAGTGGGTGAGGTGTTAGACTGCTTCATTCTGGCAGGAGTTGTAGCCCCGCCTCCTCTCCTCCCGGGACTTCCTGTTTTGTCCTCTGGCCTATTTTATCTTACACATGACATACGCCCCTCTCTCTGTCCCCCTGGAAGGTGTGTGGGGTTGCACCTCCTGCATTGCCCCTGGAGCTCTGCCCAGGACTTTCTGGATAGTTCCAGGGAGGCCACAGATTCAACAGCTAGACTTGTGCCCCCTGCCTGAGAGCCTCAAAATGTGGGGACAGGGGTAGGCTAGGGAGAGGTTAGAGTGCACTGCCATCGTAGGGGTAGGGATGAGGTGGGAGCAGAGGGTGCTGTAGACAAACTATATGCACATGAGGGATAAACTGTCCAGATGGGCGGAGAGTGAGAGCCTGGGGTCCCAGTCCTTGAAAAACCCCTGGCTCCCAGACAAGTACTAATGGTAAACTTCACTGGCTACAGCTCATTAGCTGCTGGCTGAGGTGGAGGCAGAGCTCAGAGCAAATGCATTCAATGGTCAGGAAATTCCAGGCACCAGCATGTTTGTTTTCATAAGTGACCACCTCCCTGTTCTGCTCCTTGCAGTTCCTGGACCATTGTAGGGGCAGCTGCTCTCATCCTGTTCCTGGTAGCCCTGCTGGCTCGTGTCCTTGTCAAAAGAAAACCACCGCGGGACCCACTGTTCTATGGTACGTGCCTGGGGCGGGAGCCCCTCTGTGCCCATGCAGCAGCCTCCACTATGTTTCCTCCTTGAGGGTAAATATTCCAACTGGGAAGGTGGATAGAAATACTGGAGTCTTTCAGGATGATGTGGCCCTTGTCTCCCAGGCTGTGGGGCCCATTGTGTTACCAACGGACCCTGGTGAAGGGTTACTTCTAGGGCCCCCAAGGACAGCCCTCCATTCCTCATCACCAGTATGTTCCAGCCTCTGGCGTTGACCCTGTGTCAGCACCTTCCTGGGCTTCCTACATTCAGCTTTGCCACATGTAGCCTTCCTTTCTGCTTGTAGCAACGTCACGTTCCTGCACAGGACCTCACTCTGCACATTTGTAAAGTGAGCAAATGGTGGTATCATCCATAGAGGGTTGCCTTAAAGGATTAAATAGTGTAATATTGCTAAAGTAGTCAAAACAGGGCCTGGCAAAGAGTTTATTAAATAAACAGATTGGGCTTCTACACTGTACCTGGTCGTACCCTACATACACACCAAAAGTGTTATTTCCTTTAATCCCCACAAACATCCCTCCATTTAGAGATGAAGAGATGTCCTCGGGTGATGCCCTTGTTCAACACGTTTGTCTGTGAACTGAAAGGTTACAGGTTCAAGTCCAACCCGAGGTACTTTGAAGAAAGGCTTGGAGAGCTCCTTCTGAAAAGCCAGCCATTGAACCAGGCCCAGTGGACCTCATCCCACTCTGACCCTTGGGAGGTCATCATGAATTTGGAATCAGTTTCATAGCAGCTGGGTTTTGGCTTACAAATGAAAGCACAGCCATCACTTACACTTCAGCTAATTGTCTGTCTTTAAGATCTTCTAAATGCAAGAAGGAAAACACTGTTAAACAAATGGGCCTAAGTTGAATAAATGACCTCATCTAAATCATTATATAGGGAGCTGTGGGGGCCTCGTGGTAAGACCTTGCCCTGGTAACCCAAAGGTAGGTGGTTTGAGTCTACCAGCTACTCTGTGGGAGAAAAATGGGCATTCTCTTCCTTTGTGATTAACTGCCTCTGAAAACCCACTGAAGGGTCAGCTGTGATTTGATTGTGACTTGACAGTACTCAACAACAAATCATTATTTTAGGAAGCTCTAGGGACCAGGTGAGATAAGGAGTTGTACTGCCAACCTAGAGGCAGGAAGTTTGACACCAGCTGCTCCATGGAGAAAAGATGGGCTGTGTGATTTACAGTCTTTAAAATCCCATTGGAGGGTCAATTATGAATTGGGTCCAACTTGATGGCACCTAACAACAACGAAACCATTGATTTAGGAGTCCCTGGGTGATGCAAATGGTTACTATGTCCAGCTGTTAAAGTTCCAGCTGACCTCTTGGAAGAAAGGCCTGGTGGTGCGAACAATTCTTCCAAAGCTGTTAGAAGACCCTGTGGAGCATGGTTCGGCTGACATCCATGGGGTCGCCATGAGTCAGGGTCAACTCCGTGGCAGCTGGTTTAAATTACTGTGTAGGCCTGCTTACCACCACTCTGCTTCCTAGGCCCCTCGGTTCTGTTTTAGTGCCCACTGGCCCAGGGAAGAAGTTTGGTCCAGAGCAGCCACATGAGAGAGGTGTGGAGGGTAGGGACCCTGCCCTCTGGCTCAAGGACATCCCGTGTGTTCTGGTAACTTTCTTAGGGACATAGATAGAGAATGACTACCGTCTCTACCCCAATAACAGAGGTGCTAGAGGAGTGAAGAGCTGATTGGGAAGATTCATGAACACAGACAGAGTTTTGATTGAACATGTAGGAGATAGATTCTGGGAAACATTAAAAAACAATCCATTACTGATCTGGGTCAAACTCTTTGTGATTGTCTGCTGAGCTAGTGTTTCTTAAAACTCTGGTTTCTCTGTTCTAGTTTACGCTGTCTTTGGATTTACCAGTGTGGTGAACCTCATCATAGGCCTGGAACAAGATGGAATCATTGATGGCTTCATGATGCACTACTTGAGAGAGGTATGCAGCTGCTTAGTGATTAAGACCCTTAAACGGAAATGTCAGGAGCACAAATCACTTTGCTAAGAGACGGGATGCTTTGATTTAGTGTCAGCTGGAATGGTGCATAACATTTCATTCACTGTGATAGCCTTAGAGCTGCACTGACGTAGTTTGACACAGTGACAGCAACAATGGCCTTGAGTTTGATGGAGATGATGAGGATGGCACAGCAGAAGGCAAGGTTTCAATCTGTTGTTCCTGGAGTTGCTCCCAGTCATGGTTAACCCAATGGCACCTACCAACAACACAGCAATAGACTTAGGCTGTTTATTCACACAGAACACGAAGCTGAAAACAAGGCTTAGATCATTAGGTCATTTCCTTTCCACATTCAGTTCTTGGAACTTCTCTGTCCCATCCAGTCACCATATGACCTGCCTTTCCCATTTACTTATACTTAATGAAGATGCGGAATTTGAAATAAATTTTGTATGTGTGTCTATTAGGAATGCTTCTTGACAATTATGAATACATACTTGACTCCACAACAAGTAACAGCAGCAGCAACAGTATGAGTCCGAGTCCCTGGGTAGCACAAATGGTTAAGGCTCTACTACAAACTGAATCTTGAATGAATGTAAAGAACATCAGAAGAATGTCCATTTGTGCTTTATTGGCTATGCAAAGGTATTTGACTGTGTGGATCATAACAAGCTATGACTAACATTAAGAAGAATGAGAATCCCCAAACAATTGTGTTAAAACCGGTACAAAACCTGTATTTATACCAAGAGGCTGTTGTGTGAAAAGAGTAAGGGAACAATGGTTTAATATCAGGAAAGGTGTGTGTCGGAGTTGTATCTTTTCTCCATACATATTCAATCTGTACGCTGAGAAAATTATCTGAGAAGATGGATTCTATGGAGAGGAATGTGGCGTCAAGATAGGAGGGAGACTCATCAAGAATCTGCATTTTGCAGATGACACAACCTTGCTTGCTGAAAGTGAAGAGAACTTGAAGCATTTGTGGCAGGAGATCAAATGATACAGATTTCAATACGGATTACATCTCAACGTAAGAAAACAAAAGTTCAATAGGCAACATCATAATAGATGGAGAAAATATTAAAGTTGTCAACGATTTCATCTTGCTTGGTACCAGCAGTCAGGAAATCAGGAGACATATTGCACTGGTAAAGTCTGCAGTCAGGGACCTCTTCAAATTACTGAGGAGCAATGATGTGAGTTTGAGGGGTAAGTTGCATCTAATTCAGGCCATGGTCTTTCTGATCACTTGCTATGCATCTGAGAGCTGGGAGAGAAATAAGCATGGATGACAGAAAAATTGATGCTTTTGAGCTGTCATGTTGGAGAAAGTACTGAATATCCTATGGACTGCCAAATTTAAAACAAATATATCTTGGAGAAAGTGCAGCCAGAGTGCTCCTTGGAGGCAAACATGTTGAAGCCTTGTCTCACATACTTTGGGGATATCGATAGGAATAACATTCCTTAGAAAGAGACATCATGCTTGGAACGGTAGAGAGTTGATGAAGGAGAGGAAGACCCTTAGCCAACTAGATTGGCACAGTGACAGCTACAATGGACTCTAGTGTGTCAGGAAGTGTGAGGATGACACAGGATAGGACAGAGTTCAGATCTGTTGTTCATAGGGTCACTGTGGTTCATACTCAATGGCACCTAACAACAACAACAACAACTAACTGAAAAGTTGGCTGTTCAAACTCACTGAGAGACACCTTGGAAAAATATAAATCTGGAGAACTCCTCCCCCAGTGCTCTAGCCTTGAAGACTGGGCCAGTTCTACTTTGCATGGGGTTATCATGAGTTAAAATGATTTAATTACAACTGTCTTAAGCTGAGTTTTCTAGAGACGGAAGATCAGTGAATCTTATATAGAGACAAAAATATTTGTCTTGATAAAATGGCTCACAAGCTTGTAGAGGCTGGAAAGTTCTAAGTCCATGGATCAGATGTCAGGATAGAGGCTTCTCCAGACTCACAGAGCTGCAGGGGCTGATGAACCCCACGTCAGCAGGTCAGATGGCAAGCTTTTGGCTTCAAAGGCTGAGGAATCAAAACTTAGGAGGCAATATGGCAGGCAATGGCTCAAGGCCAAAGACTCAGAGATCAGATGGTAATGAGTCAGAGGCAGAATGTTAATTGGGCCAAAATTCAAGAAGAATTTCCCAGATGTCCATGTATAGTCAGTGCAGGCCACACCCCTAAGGAAACTTCCTTTTACCTGATTGGTTATTTATAGAAAAGCTCATCATGGAAGTGATTACATTATATCACATCTCATCAAGTAGATGAGTACATCACAGCTGCTGTCACTACCTGAGAATCATGGGAAATCAAGATGACACACAACTTTAATCATCACAACAACCTTATGAATATATTGCTAGCTCAGAAAATTCAAGCCTCCTTTAAATTTATAAAGTATCAAGAACCAAGACCCTTAATGAAGGCCCTGATTGTGATGGTTAATAGTTCTCCCAATCATAACACTTTAGAGCTGCATGACATTTCCACAAACAAGTTATTTTTATTATTATTTTATTAAAGAGGTGGGGAGATTCTTTACCAAAGAAGTTAAATGACTTGCTCAGGGTCACTTGGGCATTATGGAGCAGAGCTGAAAAAAAAATACTCCTCGATCTGTGTTTGAAATAATTGGAAGTATTGTATGCAAGAGGAGGGAGTTTGAATTGTATCCCACGTGCAAGGGAAGATTTTAAAACAGAACCATACATCAAATCAGCTCTAGGAAGAATGGCTTGAGAAAAGGGGTCAGTGATGTGAGCTGGGATGTGAGTTAGGAGGCTTCTGCAGGGCTGGGAAGGACTGACAGAGGGCTGGAGCTGAGGCAATGCATGGGAAATGGAGAGGAGGGATGAATTTTAGAGAATTTGAATGAGCAAGACTTGGGAACTGATTGGAGGTGGCAGAGAGGTGAAGCCCATGGGGAGTTCTAATGTTTGCTTTGGAATTTGGAATCTGGGCCAATGTTGGTTATGGAAGAAGAATTACATCAGAAGGAGAAGGAGGAACTCTGTTCCCAGGACTCTGGGATCCTAAGGCCTGCTCCCTGACCCCAGGCTCACGGCCTGATGTGGCATGGAGATCACCCTGTCCTGAGCACCAGGATGGAGACTCCCTCAGGTACAGAAGTCCACGGAGGAGGGACAGCCCAGTTACTTCTGCAGGTAGCTGGGAAGAACCTCATTAAGGTGGTGACATTGCTTTAGCATTTTTATAAAAGACAATGGTCACGGATGATAGACATCTCTAGATAGACCAAGAGGTTGAAGGGAACTTCAGGGAGAAGGAACAGCTTGAACAAAGGCTTAGGATGAGAAATAGCATGTTTCTTCTCACTGTTGGGGTGTTCTGGTGGCCTAGTGGTAAGAAGAAACTGTGCTGCAATCCCAGAGGCATGCAGTTCAAACCCCTGCAGGAGAAGAATGAACAGTTTCCTCCCATGAGATTTACTGACTCTGAAAACCTGCTGGAGGGTCAGCTATGCATTGGTTCTGACTTGGTGGAATTCAGCAACAACAGTCTCACGATTAGCCTGAATGGTGCAAGGTTTACAAGGGCCTTTTGGGTTGCAGGTGCTTGAGGGACATTTGGTAGATGTCTCTGCTGGGAGGGCTCTGCAGGTCTTGGACTCTGCAGGTCCTGGCAGAGGGATGTAGTCTCTGCAGAGTTGGGAGAAAGTTGAGTATAGCTGGTACCTAAAGGCCTGAGAGGAGAAGAGCTTGGCCAGAGGGATGTAGACAGAGGAGAAAATCATATTGGAACCCTGAAGATTGGCTGCCAGAAGAAATGCCTCTGAAGTAACTGTGGGGGAGCAGGCTGAGAGAGAAGGGAGGTCCAGGGAGCACAGGGATGCTGAGAGAAGGGTACAGAGCAGCTTGAGAGGGAGGATTTGAAGGTACCAGAGAGCCTGGAAGTCCAGAACGTACAGCTGGGATGTGAGAAGAAGAGCAGGGGTGGAACTGGAGACATCCCCGGGGCCAGGATTTTAACACACAGCTGCCAGATCTAGAATGTGGTGCTTTCGTCTGCTGGCAGCCATAAGCTCTGGGATGTCTCATGAATATTCATTAGGTAGCAGGAGTGTGATGGATCAGAAGGAGCATATGGAAGTAGGAAACAGTTTGGAACAGTACCAGTTTCACACCCAACCCCTCCTTCAGCCTCTGAACAACCAGTGTGGTTACTGAGCGCTTGAACTAGAGCTGTGCGAGAGGTATGGAGATGGATGGCTGGTGTGACATTAGAGAGAGAAAAATCAGAAAGCTTTCACACCGAGCTGTTTAGAAGAACACTGTGGCCTTGAGCCTGGTAAGCCAAGTGGTCTTGCCATTGGCAGAGTGTGGGTGGGAGAGCTGGTGGAAGGTAGAAACTGATGGAGGTAGAGGAGCCGAGATGACTTGAAGGCCAGTCTGTAGACCATGCAGGAAATCACTGAGAGAGACCAGGGCTGGAGCCAAGGATCTGAGCCAGGTGTGTAGCCTTGAGTGTAGAAGGCCTTGGCATTGAACGGTATTAACAATCAAAGCAAGGAGTCCTGGTCATACAGTGGGTAAGCACTCCGCCGCTAACCTAAAGGTCAGAGTTGCACCACCAGCTGCTGTGCAGGAGAGAGATGAAGCAGTCTGCTTGCATGAACTTCTTCAGCCTTGAGAACCCTTGGAGGCTGTTCTGATTCCATTTACAAGGTCGCTGTGAGTCTGTGTAGACTCAGTGGCGCCTAACAATAGCCACCACCACTAGTCAGAACATGTCAGCGAGAAACCAGGTGGGCTGGGCGTGGGCACAGGAGGTCTTCTTGTGCCTCATTTCCTCACCCTCTCTACTTTCAATTTCATCTGATTCCTTACAGAGCAGTCTTTGACCCCAGGGAGCATAAGGCTCACCCAGAAGCTTGATGACTGGTAGACCAATTGTACTTCCTGGTTGTAGAAATGGCTTAAGGTAGATGTGAAGCAAGCAGGAGAGCATGGATGCGGAAACAAGAACAAGGCGGAAGCAGGATGGCATGGCTCTGGTGTCCACCACACCTGCTAGAGGCCACATCCTTGGCAGAGATCTTCTAGAGCCATTGGAAAGGGGGAAATACCCTTTGAATTGTTGCATTTGATGAAGACTATTGTATATTGAGAAAAAGGCAAACTAGTCTGTTTTGAAAGAAGCACAACCAGAATGTTCCTTAGAATTGAAGATGGTGAGGCTTTGTCTTACACACTTTGAGCATGATATTGGGAGGGACCTAAAATACGTGTGGAGCGCTGGTGGCCTGGTGGTAAGAAGCTGCATTGCAATCCGAAGGCACATGGTTTGAATCCACAGCTGCTCTAAGAGAGAAGGAATCTCCTCCCCTGCAATTAACTGCCCCTGAAAACCCCCTGGAGGGACAGCTGTGGGTTGGTCCTGGCTTAACAGCACACAATAATAACAACATTAGAAGGCAGTAGTCCCTGGAAAAGGACATCAAGTTTGGAAAAGTAGGTCAGTGAAAAAGAGCAAGAGCCTTGGCAAGATGAATTGACACCGCAGCTGCAACAGTGGACTGATGCACAACACAGATAGTCAGGATGTTGTTGACCAGGGAGCATTTGGTCTGGTTGCATGTGGGTACTTGATTCAGAGCCTACTGGACAGTATCTAACCACAGAGTCTCATGTTCTTTATAACTTCTCAGGAAAAGTGTGGCTCTTCTGGGTAGCCCTTCTGCCTCTGCTGGATACATGACCTTAAGCCAATCCTGGAAACTCTCTGAACCCATTTCCTTATCTGTAAAATGAAGTCGACGATGTGTATCCCACAGGATGTTTGGGAAGTTGGGAGGAAGGACTGGGTGTGAAGCTCTGAGTTCCCTGTGCCTTCTTGGTGAGAATGTCTTTGTCTCCCTCAGGCCCAGCCCAGCAGTCCTATCATCAGGCATGATTGAAAGGATACCTCGTTTTATTTCAGTTTGCTTTATTGTGCATTGGATGGTGCATTTTTAAAACTTAGTTGAAAGTTTGTGGCAGTTTTGCCTTTTTCCAACAGCCTGCACTTACTTTGCATCTCAGTGTCACATTTTGGTAATTATAAAAAAAATTTGTAAATTTTTCATAAGCTATTATTCCCATTCCCAAAAAAGTTGATCCAATAGAATGTGGAAATTATCAAACAATATCACAGTTAAGCAGAATTTTGCTGAAGATTACTAAAAAAATGACTCAAACAGTACATGACTAGAGAACTGTCAGAAATACAAGTTGGGTTTAAAGGAGACCATGACACTAGGGATATCATTGCTGATGTCAGGTGGATCTTGGCTGAAAGCAGAGAGTACCAGAAGGTTGTTTATTTGTGTTTTATCTACTATGCAAAGGTATTTGACTGTGTGGATCACCATAAATTGTGGCAAACATTGCAAAGAATGGGAATTCTAGACTGCTTGATTGTGCTCGTTTGAAACCTAGACCAGAAAGCTGTTGTCTGAACAGAGCAAGGGATCATATGGTTCAAAATCAATAAAGGAATGCAACAGGTATGCCTTTCTCCATGCCTTTTAGATCTTTATACTGGACAGATTGTTTGAGAGGCTGGACTGTATGAGGAAGAATGTGGCATCAGGACCAGAGGAAGACTCATTAACAACCTGCATTATACAGATGACATAATCTTGCTTGCTTAAACTGAGGAGGACTTGAAGAACTTGCTGTAGAAGCTCAAGGACTGTAGTCTTCGATCTGAACTGCATCTCAACATAAGAAAACAAGGTCCTCACCATTGGGCCAATAGGCAGAATCATAATAGAGAAAAGATTGAGGTTGTTAATGATTTCACTGCTCAGATCCACAATCAACACCCTTGGCACTAGTAGTCAGGAATTCAAAAGACAAGTTGCATTTGGAAAACCTGCTGTCAGGGACCTCTCCAGAGTGCAAAAGAGCAATGATGTCAGTATAGAGACTAAGGTGTGCCTGATCCAGGCCATAGTCTTCTCATTTGCTTGCTATGCATCTGAGAGCTGGACAATGAATAAGGATGACATAAGGAAGAAGAATCAATGCCTTTGAGTTGTAGTACTGGCGAAATATATTGAACATACCATGGACCATCAAGATAAAAACATGTCTTTCCTGGAGAGGGTGAAACCAGGTTGCTCCCTGGAGGCAAGTCTCCATCTCACATACTTTATGCATGCTGTCAGAAGGAACCAGTCTTTGGAGAAGGACATCATGCTTGGAAAGGTGGCTAGTCAGGGCAGGTGAGGAAGACCCTGGATGAGATGAGTTGACACAGTGACTGTGGCTGTGGGGGTAGATGTGTCAGTGACAGTGAGATTAGCTCAGGAAAGGGCAAGGTTAAGAGCTTTTGTTCACAGGGTTGATATGAGTCATGATCTACTTAACAGTGAATAACAACAACAATTGCACATTTAATAGACTACAATATAGTATAAACATTACTTTTATATGCACTTATGAGAACTCAAAATTCATACGGCCCACCTTACTGGTCTGGAAATGAATCCGCAGTATCTGAGAGATGTTTGTATGATGTGGTTGACCTTTAGTCCCAGCATTGGATCGACCCAGGGGAGTTTGCTGTGCAGCCAGAACTGCCCACAGTGCCATCTACCTTTGTGTCACAGGACAAACCCATCAGCCAGCTTGACGTTCTCTCCTAAGATGACCTGGGACTGACCTGGGCTTTGGCAGCTGCAGGGGAAATTCATACTTTCACATTCTACCAATTTTGTGATTCTCTATAACAAAGGAGAGTTTCATTTTAGCCAGCTAACACAAATGGGTTGTGCCATTTTATTTCACTTGTAATGCAGACCTGTTGGTCTGCCTTTACATGTTTTGAGTCATATTTAGCCTGGACTTGTTCTTCTTGCTTTCTGTAGGCTGAGCCGTATCTGAACACTGCATACGGGCACATGATCTGCTACTGGGATGGGTCTGCTCACTACCTGATGTACCTGGTGATGGTGGCAGCCATAGCGTGGGAGTAAGTTGTTCACCTGCTGTGTGTGTCTTGCAGGCCCAGAAACCGATAAGCAGGTCATTAAGGGAAATGCACAGAGAGGGCCAAATCTAGAAACAGGTTTCTGAATACACATTTGATGGGTTTATTTTCCTGGCATCACTGCCTTTTGAACATGTACCTTGGGATCATTGCCATGATGACACCACCCCTTGCCTTTCTGATGATGCTCTTGTAAGAGCAGTAGGCGTCTCAGGGTGGAATACAAGAAATGGTTAAGCACTGGTTGGAAGGGTGGTGATTCAGACCCATCTGAAGGGACCTCAGAAGAAAATCCTGGTGATCTGCTTCTAAAAAGTCACAGCCTGGAAAATTCTAGAAATGCAGTTCCACCCTGCACACCAGGTCAGCTTGAGTCAGAATTGACTCAGTGGCAACTGATTTTTGCTTTCCCTTTTGTCTTTCTCTTTTTAAGTAAGAATGGTCTCTTTCTTAGAAATTAAAAACCTCAGCACATTCTTAGTCAAAACGTGCATGTCTTTCAGTTCAAAGTGTCTCTCTTCTCTCAAGCTCAGGTGTAACTAAGCTCAGGCTTGGGTTACGAGGTGCACTTTTTGTTAAGTTCTGTCAGGATGAATGAACTTCTCAGGATCAGATACCTCAATGAGGATGAGCATGCCTTCCCCGGAGGTTTGCCACAAACACACACATACCAAGTAGGCGAGGGAAGTACAGTTTATTAAAGGGAAAGAGAAGTTCATGAGGGACAGTACACTCAGAGGAGCAGACAGTGGGTCCTCTCACAAGACAGAACAGCAACAGTCTAGGGTAAAAGCTAACTATTAATGGGATCCTTATTCCTGGTTTGATTCCTTCTTCTGTGGCTGCTTTGGGCGGGTGGAGGGAGACAGTTCTTTCATATACAATTTGCAAAGCTGGTAAGGAAATGGCACAGTCTGTACTGCAGCCCAAATTGATCCCAACACGTTTATTCCTGGTTATTTCTTTTACTTTTTTGCAACGCCCGTTGCTCTGTGGCTGGCTCCTTTCGGAGTGTGTGTGGGATTAGAGAGGAACAGAGACATCTGATGTGACAAATTGCTGCTGTTTGTTGACACGTGGTCCCCTCTGTTGTTGTTGGGCATATGTGTGGGTTCTGTGGGACCCCTACTCCAAAGACCTTTGCATTGTACCAGTCCCCACAGTGAGCAGTGTTTCCTGTCTGACTGAACTTGCCCGGTGTTACATCCACACCTTCCTTCTGCTGGAGTCCCCAAACTCCAGAAGGTGTGTACCCTCTAAGGAGGGGGCAGGTTTTCAGGATGCCTCCAGTCCTCTTAGCTATTGGTCAGAGAAAATAATGTATTCTTGTCCCATCACTGACACCAAAAGCAAATTCACTCTCGCTGAGTCTATTCTGACTCACAGCAACCCTTCCGGGCAGAGTACAACTACCCCATAGCATTTCCAAGACTGTAAACCTTTACAGAAGCCGACTGCCACATCTTTCTCCCCTTCCAGTCAAAAACTGAGTGCTTCAGACCACTGCATCACCAGGGCGCCTCTCTTGGGCCAGGCAATGGTGAAATGCAGCTTGATCAGCTCTCCTATCTCCTCACCATGCACACAAAGGTAGCTCCAGCCAGCACTAGGATGTCTCTTAAAAAAGTTCTCATCATAAACATTGCTATTGCTAAGCTCTGGCAAGAAATACTTGTGCTCTGTTTGCAGGCAGCCCAGAGTGGGTCTCGGGGTTTCTGCAGCTCAGTTAGCACCCAGCAGAGGAAGATTCAGGTCTGTCCTCCTGTTGACAGTCCCAGTCACTGTGAACAAGCCTTGTGAGGTTTGTTTCATTTGGCCTGAGGGATACTGTATGGCAGGAAGCACTTGGAATTTTTTATTCGCTGTTTGCCTTCAGAGAATCTCCCTTTGAATTTCTCAGACACTCTCATAGAGGATTTTGTTGTTATTTGCTGTCGAGTCAGAACCAACTATATGTGACCCTCCAGTGGGTTTTCAGAAGCTATAAATTATACAAGGAGGAATTGTCCATCTTTCTTGTGTGGAGCGGTTGGTAGATTCAAACCACCAGCCTTTGGACTGGCAGTGCAGCTCCTTCCACGAGGCTAGCAGAGCTCCCTCTCGTATTGGATGGGGCTTGTATGTTGGGGTTATTTGTTGAAGGAATTTCTGAATAGCAGTTCTTCCTGTTACAGATGATTGGAGAGAATGTCCAGCAGCTCCTTTAGCACACGGTGTTTGCATCTTCACCTTTGGGTACCTTGGCCAAAATTCCGTTACATCAGGGAACATCCATCTAACATCCTGTGGTGGTTGTTGTGTACTATCCAGTCAGAACCAGCCCATAGCTGGTGGGTTTTCAGAGGCAGTTAATTGCACGGGAGGAAAGTGTCCATCCTTCTCCTGCAGAGCAGCTGGTGGGTTTGAACCGCATGCCTTTGGGATTGTAGCTAATTTCTTTCCACAAGGCCACCAGAGCTCCTGTAACATCCTGTTATGAGAATTTAAAATATGGCTCCAGTTACTTCCTTTTCTTTCTTTCCATGGCCAAGTGTTTTATACTTAAGAAGGATTGGTTGTAAGGTCACTTTTAAAAACTACCATATTATAGTAAACCAATTTCTTACTCAAAGGGACAAGAATTATCATATGTCCCACATTGAGATAAAGTTCACTCTGGTGGCATCGTCCGTAGGGAGTCATGCTGCTAACCCAAAGCCCACGCCTCGCCGGCAAGTTCAAATCCACTAGAGGCTTTGAGAGAGAAAGAGGTGTAGTCTCCTCTATCAATTTACAGCTTCTGAAAACTCACTGGAGGGTCACCTATGAGTCGGTTCTTACTCAATGACAGTGAATGAGTGAGTGATACAGAGATGAAATTTAATCACCAGGGTTCCTTGTGTTTGATTTATCTGCCTGGGGTCTTAAATCTCGAGCCATATCTTTACTAGTTAGAAGGTAAACTGATATTGGGAAATCTCTTTTGCTAAAGATATTCTAAGACAAGGCTTAATCGAGAATTTTTTTGTTACAGGGAAAGTTACAGAACTATTGGCCTGTATTGGGTTGGATCTATTATTATGAGCATTATTGTTTTTCTCCCTGGAAACATTGTGGGTAAGAAGCTTCTCTTAAAATTCATGCTCTTTTTCCTTTTTTGAAACAATGGGGAGTAGTTTTACATGGATAAGCTATTTGTTTTTTTTATACTAGAACCAAGGGACTCTAAGTATGAAATCTGTCCAGTGTGGGATGCACATACTTGATGCACAATAGCATTTCTTACATCTCTTTGCATTATATAGAAGTCCTGTACACTATGGGGACTTAATACACATACTTGACAAGTATTCATACAGGAATAATATGATATTAAATCACCTTTTTTGTACTGTAGATAGGAGCTAGGGGCCTGGGTCCTGGTTTATGCTTAACTACCAACCAAAAAAGAGCTCTGGTGGCCTAGTGTGAACCTTGAGAGGCTGCTACCATTTTGGTCAGCAGTTCAAATCCACCAGCTGCTCTGTGGGAGAAATATGGGCAGTCCTCTCCTATAAAAATGGACGGCCTTGGAAACCCAATGGTGGGTCATTGTGAGTTAGGACAGACTTGACAGCCGTGGGTCTTTTGGCGCAACTAACCTAATTTGTGGCTTGACCTCACCTGGTGGTACTGTGGGAAAAAGGCCTGGTGATCTGCTTTCAGAAAGGTTCCAGGCAGGGGAAGCCTAGCACACAGTCCTGCTCTGTCACGTGGGGTGACCAGGAGTCGGAACGGGCTCAGTGGCAACAGGCTTGTTCTAGTTTGTTTTTAAACAGAGCATGGCTGTTAATAAACTTTTAATTTAACCTCTCATATTTCTCATTAAAAATATAATTTGGTCCATGGTAACATTTCAGATGACTTGAAATGGGGGGTATCCTCATGGGCCCTTGCATTTATACCTTTGGTAATGTTTTTATTTTCTCTCTTTTTCTCTCTTAAATAGGGAAGTACGGAACACGGATTTGTCCTGCTTTTTTCTTAAGCATACCATACGCTTGTCTTCCTATCTGGGCTGGTTTCAGAATCTATAATCAGCCACCCGAAAATTATAATTATCCCTCAAAGGTGATTTTATGAATGTGTTCTGAAACCCCTAGGGCTCATGTCCATTCACTGGTCACTGAAATGGAGGTGCTCCGTGGACAAGATGTGGGGCATTGGGCTGTATGATTGTGTTAATTAATCAGTGTTGGTTCACCTTTACTGGGAACTATTACAGCCACAGGGTTAGGCGTCAGCTGGCCCACCCACACGCTTTGGAGCATCTTGAGCTTGGTGGCACAGTGGTTAAGTGCCTGGATGCTAGCTCAATGATCAGCGGTTCAAGTCATCCTACAGGAGACAAAACCTGGCTTCCTGTCAAGTCACAGCCTTGAAATCCCACTGTTTGGTCCAGGATCAGTTTGAGTTGGTATCTGATTTAAGGGCAAGAGGATTTGGGTGGCAGTGGTTTGTACTGGCCTTGATCATTAGTCTCTACATTAGTGCTGGGTGAAGGCCAGCATGTGGGTTTGGCCTGGGGGTGCTGATGGCCTGGATGTTGGGCACTTGGGTTCTTATTTCAGCGATGATCTCTCCCTTTGCGTCTCCTGTCCCAAGGGAAGGTTGGAGAGATGGCAGCCCACAGAGCCAGAAGGTCGGTTTAACCAGAAGTGGCCACATGGGAGCTAATCAAGACATGATAACTGTGTTACGAGAAGATTGACAATAGAATTCACGGAAATAGATTTTCACTTATAAATGCTTCATTTGTAAACATTTAGACAGCTCCTGTGTAAAATCAGGCTGGCATGCTGACAGCTTTTGAGGTAGGAGGTGGTGGTTCAAAAGAAAATTCTAGGCAATACCCAGGTTACAAATGAGGACTCATCCTGAATGTGTCTTTTAAGTTGAATCTTTTAAGGTAAGTTAGACTAGATGCAAATAGTTTTTGAGCCTTACTTTATTGCAAGAGGGAATTCTCGTGGCGTAGTCAGCAGGGAGTTGTACTCTTAAGCCAAAGGCCATGCCTCTCTGGGAGTTCAAATCTACGCTCTCTGGCAGAAAAGATGGGCAGTCTCCTCCTGTTTGACTTTAAGCATTGGAAATCTGATAGAGGACCAGCCCTGGGTTGGTTCTGACTTGATAGCAAGGAGTTTTGAGTTTTGAGTGTTTTTAATAATTGCAGGAAATGTGCTTTGGTGACTTAATGTGCTAAACATTGGGCTGTTCACTGAAAGGCTGACAGTTCAAACCCAGAAGCCTCTCCTTAAGTGAGCGATGAAAGGCTGACAGTTCAAACCCAGAAGCCTCTCCTTAAGTGAGTGATGAAACAGTCTGCTCCCACTGCAGTTTATATCACCTCACAAACTGGGTAGAGGGCTGTGCTCAGAGTTGTTGGGATACAAACGAGTGTGGTTTTGGTGTTTGGTACAAGCAGCAGCCCTGGTGGCATAGTGTGCTTCAATGCTGACCGAAATATCAATGATTTCAGTCCACCAGCTGCTCTGTGACTAAAAAATGTGAGACACCTGGCTTCAATGAAGAGGTTTACAGCCTTGCAACCCTTGTGGAGAAGTTCTGCTCTGTCGTGGAAGGTTAGGAGAGAGATTCTGTTCACTGGCAGTGGGTTTGGTTCTACGAGAACAAAGGCTAGTGCAGCAAGTGAAAGGTGACGATGACTCTGATGGAGAATGTCTACGTGCCCCACAGTGGGGGCATAAAGAAAGGATTCTTCATAATACAGAAAAGTACTGTATTAAGAATAGAGGGCATAAAACCCCAGACATACAAAAGAGAGAGAGAGTGTGTGTACGCACGCGCACACATGCATGCATGTGTGTATATAATCACAAAAGTATACCATAGTTACGGTATAACAGAAAGAGAATTGATGCCTTTGAGCTGTGGTGCTGGAGAAGAGTATTGAATATACCATGGACTGCTAGTAGAACAAACAGGTTCATCATGGAGAGGGTGAAACCTGGCTGCTCCTCCAAGTAGGCAAGGATTCTGAGGCTCTGTGTAACATACTTTTGACATGTTGTAAGGAGGGACCAGTCCTTGGAGAGGGACGTCATGCTTGGGAGGGTGGAGGGACAGCACAGGAGAAGAAGACCCTTGATGGGGTGGGTTGATTCAGTGACTTGGGTAATGGGAGTAGGTGTATCGGAGACAGTGCGATTGGCACAGGACAGAGCAGAGTTTAGGGCTGTTGTGCATAGGGTTGCTATGAGTCGCAAGCGACTCGACAGCACATGACAACAGCAAGTATATATTGCATTTATAATCATAGAAGTGCCATTTCAAGAAAGAACACTGAGTCAGGGAGCTCATAGGACCCTTTGAGATCCCCTGGCCCCACCTCCTTATATCACAAATGAGAACACTGGGACCCGATTTTTCCCTTCAGAAGTCTCTCCTCAGCCACCATGAGGGCGTCTGCGGTTCAGTGGATCTCTTTGGCACCATGGGCCTGCTCTTTAGTGACAAATTTATTGCAGGTCATTCAAGAAGCCCAAGCGAAAGACCTGCTGCGAAGACCATTTGACTTGATGCTGGTCGTGTGTCTCCTCCTGGCAACCGGATTTTGCTTGTTTAGAGGCTTGGTAAGTGTGATGGATCAAAGTAGCATTAACTTCAAAGTATTAGACTACACAGGTTTCAAAATGGAAAAAAGTTGCAAGTATTTTTAGTTGGACTGTGAGCCTGCTGTCAGAACCTGGTGCCTCAGACTTGTTTCCGGTGGCCCTGTCATCCCAGCCACTTACCCCCAGCCTCCAACTTTCAACGTCCTTCCTCTGTCCCAAGTTTCTTCATATCACCTGCCTTCATGTCCAAGCTTCACAGAGAAGGAGCCTTTTGGAAACTGTAGATGGTGCAAAAAAAGCATCATCTGACATATTTTGGGATGCTTATCTTGTTAAAAGAGGCAGCTCCTTGGAGAGGGATATCAGGCTTGGAAAGGGCAGCAAAAGGAAGACTCTCAACCGGATGGATCGGCACAGTGATTATGGCAGTGGGCTCGAGTGTGTTAAAGATGGTGGGGTGGGCACAAGGACGGACAGGGTTCAGATCTGTTGTTCATAGGGTTGCTAGAGGTCATGCTTGACTTGACAGCACTTAACAACAATGGGGAGTGTGCAAACAGTTAAATGCTGGGTTATTTACCAAGGGGTTGGAGACTCAACCCTATCTAGAGGTACATCGGAAGACAGGTATGGTGACTGCCTTCTGAAAGGCCACAGCCTTGAAAACACTATGCAGCAATTCTGCACTGCAAACACAGGATCACCATGAGTTGAAAATGACTTGATGGTACCCAACACGTGCCTGACAGATCCCCCAGGTGATGCAGTTAACTGCCCAGCTGTTAACAGAAAGGTTGGTGGTTCAAGCCCACCCAGAGGTGCCTCAAGGAAAGGGCCTAGTGAGATGCCCCTAAAATATTCAGCCATCGGAAACCCCATGGGACACAGTTCTACTCTGACACATGAGGTCACCATCAGCCATAGTCAATTCGACAGGAATTATTTTTTCCTATTTTAGTGTTTTCATTCATTTGACTCAGTTTCTTTTTCTGATTTAAACATCTGTGCTAAACCCTGAAACTCCAGTAAAGCTGGGGTGCACAGCATCTGTGGGAGGAGGGTGGGTGGGACTGAGGAGAGGGTATAATGAATAGGTGAGGTTAAGACATTTCTCACTGGTAAAGCAAAGACTAGTTAAGAATTGGGAACTTTGCATTGAGGTCTATACATTAACGACATGTGGGCATTTTTTTTTCTCTTTCTCCCTTTGCAATATTAGAGAACTTACCTTTAAAAGTCCTAAGAAAATGGCCCACTGGGGGCTTTGGAGTTACTAGCTGTGAGGCCTTAAAAAAGTTAATTAACTTTTTTGGTCCTTGGGTTTTTCTTCTGCAAAATAACACCTGCTGCTTTTGAGTCTGTTCCTCCTCGGCTGCGCCGGTCAGGTTTCTGCGGCCGAGACTCTATGGGAGACGTTCCAGCTTCCTCCTGTGGAGGCGCTGGGGTACTGTAGCTGCACGTTTTGATGAGCAGCTTGGTAAGTCACACTAGTACACCAGAGCTCCCTCTGTAAAATAATATTACCTGCCTTACGGGATTGTTTTGAAGATTAAATGACATGGTGACCATGGAACTCTTCATCAAAGGCCTACACTCCTAAGTGCTTAATAAATTATTGTTGTTATCTTTGAATTAACCAGTGACCTTCTGCAATACCCAAATTCCAGGATCCATTATTTGTAGAAATAATATACCGCAGCTCAGATTATACGGTTAGTTTAGTCTAGCTTCAATGACCATTTCTGGTGACCCTGAGCCTGCTGGCCTTGCAAAGCATTGGAAGCAGGATGGCAACAGTAAGGTGACGTAGCTGCTTCATTATTTTTGGGTTCCTGAGCTATGAGGGGCCTGTCAGGCACCACAGGAGAAAGGCCTGCTAATCCTGAAGATGTACTTCTGAAACAGCCGCTGAAACCCCCCGGTGATCAATGGGGCACGGTTCCATTCTGAAAAACACAATGTGGCTGAGCCGGGTTCCAGGGGAGAGGCTGTCTTCAGAGCTGCCTCTGGGTGGGGACTGTTAGGGACCCCTGAAGGAGGGCCACCAAGGGTCGGGTCACTGCTAGGGAAGCAGGGCCATAGCTTTGCTCAGCTCACAGGGCCAAAGGATCAGAGATTCTTCGTTAGTTTGTTGTAATTTTCCAAAGTTAAAACCCAGGGCTTTGAAATAGGTAGTTCCTTTCAGTTCCCTCAAATTCAGCATTTCCACTGGATATATGGAAATCAGAATCTACATTGTAATAAAATACCTTGATAATTCTTAGAGATTCCCAGCAGATTCTGTAACTTTTTATAGTCTTCTGTATATAGAGAATTACCTGGGGATATTGTCAAAATGTAGATTCTGACTAGTAGCTAAAATTACCACAAGAAATCAAATTATATTGTTTAGATGTGTACATGATAAAACCCCATTTTAAAAAAAGTGTTGATGTGTGTTTGTATATGTGTATGTACAGCACATACTAAGGGAAGGGTTTTTACAAATAAGCATTTGCCCTGTTGATATCAGGCCATCAGCCCCTGTTATGTTGTTTGATGGGGCAGTTTCGTGGCCAAGGACATGAGCAGTTACACCTGAGCTAGGGGCAGGTGGCTCTGAGGGGCCCAGTCATGGACTCAACACTGAGCCTCTTCTGTAGCATGAAGTCAATTCCTGGTGACTAACTTTGTTTGTTCTCTTTCAAAGTGGACACAAGAGGTGAGTTCAGACGAAAGGACCCTGCTTTCAAATCATTATCCTTTACTGCCCTAAAGACCATATACTGGAAGGATGCAGTTTTTGAATCTTACATAGTAAGATGAACTTGGTGTAGAAATTCACTTTTCTTTCTGTAGGAAGCACCAGTAGTCTGCTGGAATTATTCCCAGACACACGTGAAACTGATTATCCATAGCTAGCAGTGCCCGGGCAACCTGAACATTTTGCCACCCTCTCCCCAATTCTGAGACTCCATCTCACATACTTTGGCATGTAGCCAGGCGGGACCAGTCTTTGGAGAAGGTTATCAAGCTTTCAAAGGTTGAGGGACAGCACAGGAAAGGAAGACCCTGGATGAGATAGCTTGACACAGTAACTGCGGTGAGGAGGGTAGGTGTGCAAGAGACAGTGTGGTTGGTACAGGATGGAGCAGGGTTCAGAGCTATTGTGCACAGGTCACTACGAATCATAGACAACTCTACGGCACGTAACAACCAGCACCACTACCCCGCCCCTGGGTATTCATACAGTACCCGAGACTAGAGCATTCCTGTTGCCATTTCCTGCTCCACTGCTGCATCTCCAGAGGGTAAACTTACACTGTTTCTTCCTTCTTCTCCCTCATTCCCAGATGAGCTTCAAGGACGCACTGTCTTTTTTCAGTAGCACAGCAGCTTGTGACGAATCTGGCACCTGCAGCCTTGTCAGCACCTAGAAGAGCCAGATGTGGTGGCATCTCTGTAACCATCCCTCTTGTCCCTAGATCGCCTTGGATTGCCCGGCTGAGCTCTGCCGATCGTACACGCAGTTTCAAGAGCCCTACCTCAAGGATCCTGCTGCTTATCCCAAGATTCAGGTCAAGGAGTTAGGAAGGCTCAGATTTTTCCTGAAATTTCATTTTCCCTGTTTTTAATTTTTTAAATGGGAGAATGTGGTTCCTTGTTGGGAATGGGAATGAGCAATTGTAAAATTGAAGATGCTCATTTTCCTGTGGTTTTTTTTTCTCCCCCAGTCCAGATGAACTGTTCACTTGCTGATGGTATCACTTCCGTCCTGATACAGATGCTGGCCTATCTGTTCTACTCTGTCCCTTACTTCGTGATGGCGCTTTATGGCTTGGTGGTTCCTGGCTGCTCCTGGATGCCTGACCTAAGCCTGATACACGCTGGAGGTCTAGCGCAGGTATTACTATTATCATTACTGAAAAGTCTACTCATGATGTGTCATTGCTGTGGAAGTGACAAACACCTCTGCTCGGCGTTTCAGGGTGGCTGCTGTGTGCTGGGAAGCTGACGCAGGATCAGTGCTCCCCTCTAGGACAGGGTGGGATGCCCCGTGGGCTTCTAGGCCAGGACCTTCGTAGGGCCTTGTCTCCCACAGAGCAGCTGGTGGGGCCTGCCCTTTCAGTTAGCAGCTGAACACTTCACCACGGTGTCACAGCAGCTCCTCCTTTCAAGAGAAATCCTTATTAAATATGCTATTCTCTTTATAGTTCTTTATAATACACACCAGCCTGTGTGTCTTATTAACATCACATAGTAGCTCATTAATGGAAGAGGTGAGGGATCAGGCCCAGGGAGGTTCAAGTTGTTGCTCCAGGTTCCATATCCATGAAATGGGTATGCTGAACTGAAAATCGTCTCTGCCTTATGGCACAGGGTCCCTTTTGCAGGATTAACAATTGTTGCGAACTGTTCGAGTTGGAACTGGCTCATTGGTGATCCTCCAGTGGGTTTTCAGAGGCAGTAAACGGCATAGGAGTTGACTGCCCATCTTTCTTCCATGGAGCAGCTGGCAGATTTGAGCCACGTGCTTTTGGTTTGACAGTGCAATTCCTCACCGCTAGGCCACAGCAAAGCAAACTGATCTTATGAACGCAGAAGGAAAGTCAGTAATTTTATGAATATTCTTACTAGATTTTTAAAAATGGACTTAGCTTTTGGGATCATGATCTTTGTCTTGCTGTTGTCCAGCGGACTGAAGAGCGAGCTTCATTCTCAACTTCTAGGCATTCATAATTTATTCTCCTGGTTTAGTAACGATGATGACAAAAACAAAAACAGTAAATTTATAGGGTGGAAAAAACAGCTACAACATTCACTGGACCAAACTCCTTTCAACCTGCACTTCTAAACTGTGGGATCAGCATATTAATAAAATTTGATGCTGTGTCCAGAGACACTGGCTGCTGCCTCTTCCTGTAAGGACTCAAGAGGAAAGATTGTGAACATTTAGCCTCACACTCCTCAGGATAATGATTCTTCAGGTTTGTTTTTGGTCCTTATTTACTTTCATATCTTTACGTACTAAGGAGCTCTAGTGGTGCCATGGCTAAACACTCAAGCTGCTATCAGGTCAGTGGTTTGAACCCACCAGTTGCTCGGCTGACGATGTGGCAGGAAGTCTGCCTCAGGGGCGAGTAGAGCCTTGGAGACCCGCGGGGCACTTGTTCTCAGGGTTGCGGAGTCACAATCAAACCAACAGCAACTGGTTTAAACATTGAATTATGAATTCCAGTGTTCTGTTTTTAGACCACACAGCTCTCAGGTTTACTTTACTCTCAAGTGTAATGTTTTCACTCAGATGTCTCACCAGCATCACAGATTTAAATCGCAAACTGGGTTCTTGCCTCTCCTAACCCTTCTGGTTTCTTACCCCGTCAATCTTTTGCACCCAGCAGCTCAAGCCAAAAACCTGGAAGTAATTCATCTGGTTCCCTTGCCTCCTACATCTCGTTCTACCCTAAGAGTAGGGACCCCTGGCAGTCTAGTGGTAAGAAGCTGCACTCCAATTCTGAAGGCACACAGTTCAAATCTACCGTCTCTTCCCATGTGATTTTCTGGCTCTGAAAACTCGCTGGAGTGCCCACTACAGGCCTGTTCCGACTCGATGGCACACAGCCATCAAGTAATTATCAGAGCTATCCTTTCCCCCAACCACTCTGCCATTACTTTATTCTGCACTCATCATCTTCCCATATGCCAGTTTAGTGATGTTAAGTGTCCATTCACTCACTCACTCATGACAGGTTATATATTTTGCTGAATTAACAATACTCAGTAACAGTCCTTCATCTTTTGCTCACCTGAAGTTGCCATAGGATACTCTCAAGGGCCAGGCCCTGCACCAACCCACATGCAGTTGAGGCTTGGAAATGCGGTCTTCCCCTTTGCCTTAGAAGAGGAAATGGGGTGGTGACAACCTGACATTATTTTGGGTCACAGCTGTTTTCTTACTCCTATTTTACAGATGTGTAAGATGAAATGCAGGACAGTTTGTTGCTTGTCTGAGGTTGCTGATACTAAATGACAGGATAAGAGTATGAACTCGTTTGATTTGAGAGTCTTTATTGTCTTCTGAACTGTTACCTCCTTCATACAAATAATTAGCTACGGCAGAGTTCTGTACTAAAAAGACTTTGCATGTGGTGTGGGGAAAAGGTGGAGACAGCAGCTGGGCTGAGGGCTAAATGGGCTTGTTATTAAGTTCTTGGAACTCTGAGGATGCATGTAGATGTAGCGATGGATAGCAGTAAGAGGACAGAGTAAACCTTCACTTCTGTTTCCTGATTCTCGAGTGTCCTTCAGGACAGGGTTTCTTTATTAGATGTGACTGCTCAGTTCATGTTTGGGCCAGTCTTTAACACAGACCCTACCATTTGGTGGGGCTAAGCATACACATGACACTGGGTGCTTGAGCAGGGAGGTCCTGGGAAGGGCACAGTGGACTGTAGAGAGGTGGGCAGCAAGAGAGCCCCTTCAGGCAGGCTCTAGGCCTTGCAGGAATCCTTGCACATTGCTCTGTTTGACAAAGTAGCCCAAGGGCCCTCCCTTGCTGGTGTGTGCCCAGAATAGATCCTGGCAGTGTTTGAGGATGCCTCTCCAGGCCAGAATGTGGACAGTGGCATCTTCAGAGAACGGTGTGTCTGATGTTCCTATGCTAACAGTTGGCTGCACTTTAATATTTACCTATGTGTAGTGGTTAGCCTGATAAAAAGTTAAGATACCATGTTGCAACACAACAGTGCATAAAATCAGAATGCTGAGTTTGTTATGCAATTTGTTTTCTACTTTCCAAACACTTGCTTATGAGAAGGATTCTTGTCTTAAGAGGGTATCTGATGCTCTTTGAACACTTCTCATTTGCTAAAACTTTTGTTTTCATAAAAATTTATACAGAACTTGGATTCATTCACTGTTGTGCATTTTCCTCCCTGCCCCGCCAGTTCACTTTTCTCCTTGAAAAAAAAATTCATTTTTGTATAACCATTGTTCTTAACATAATGGTTGATGCATCGACAATCCCAACCTCCCTTTACCAAAGGATACAGTGAACTCCTAAGAGTCTGTGTAGTTTAATAGGAAAGATAAATCATTGAAATTACTAGATCTGTGCAAGTCAGTGGAAAGCAAGCTGGGTGGGTGTGGGTCTCCGCTTTTAGTCTCTAATAGCCTGCTCAATCTAGTTTCAGAAAATAAAAGATCAACAAAAGAACACACAATAAAATAAGGACACATTTGGTGCCAAAGAGTTCCATTTGAGATAGTCAAGATTCTTAACCCCATTTTTTTTTTTTACAAAATCTTTCTCAGAATTAAAAATTACAAAATACCATGTTTACACCTTAGGCCAACTTACTTACATTTTCTGTTAACTGAATATTTTGGCTAAATCATCAGTAAAAACTGAAAACAAAACAGCCCAGCAAAACCAATCTTGTTTACAGCCTAAGAACTAGAGGTAAACCAGTTCAAATGCCGTCTTCAAGCTGATTGGCTGAATGATCTATTTTACCTCAGTTTCCTCTTCTGCAACATGAGGATAATAATCGTACCTTTCTCTTGGGGTCGCTGTGACAATGGCTATTTTCTGTATATATAAAGGGTACTTGCCACATACGATCTGTGAGTCTTTGTTGCTACTGCTGTTGTTATTGCAAGTCTGATTCCTGGTCTAGAAGAGAAAGACCTTATGTTGCTCAGAGATCCATGAATTAACTTGTAGACAATCAAGCTAACTGGAAAGCAGGAGTAGCATCCACTTCCTAAACAACATGCCTCTGGAAACTCCATGAACTTTGATAAACGACAGTAGTTATAGAAAGGCTTTGGGTCTTTTGTTCATAGGGTCGCTGAGTCGTGCTCAACTCGACGTCAATCAACAACATAATTATTTAAAAGCTAAAACAAAACAAGAACACAGCCCCCCCCCCAAAAAAACAAACAAACAAAAAACCAACCAACCAACCCTGGAAGAAGTCTTAAGACAGACTCATGCTGGGTTTGGCAGGCAGCAGGCCACCCTATCCAGTCAGCAAGACAGGACTAGTTCCCCCACAAAGGGGAAGTACCCCTTCCTCCGCCACCCTCCCCCACTTTGTCACAGAAGGGCCAAGCTCATATGTGGGTAATTTTGTTGCAGAGTTGATTCTACTGGAGATGAGCTTTAGAAACTTTTGGAAAATACTTGAAAGGTTTAAGAGGAGCACAGATAATTTACATTTTAATAATTTGCTTTTGGTGTGGTTATTAGTGCTGGAGTTGGGGTTTAATATCCTTTTGTCCATTGAAGGAGACAGTGTCAGTCTTGAAATTGTCAAAGATCAGCAAAGAGATTAAAACTGGAGTCCAAGTTTACAACAAAGCAGAGAGCCAGATCATTAATAACTATTTAAGTCCACTGTGCTCAGCACTAAATAACCTGACACATGTCAGCCCATTTGGCCCTGAGAACTGCCCTGCCAATCCCAAGAATATGCTCCTTTGCCGATGACATCACAGCTGGCTCAGGGCCATAAAGCTGGTTTGTGGGGAAGGCACGATCTGACCCCAGCAATCTACTTCCAGAGTCAGTGTCCTTCACCACTGCTCTCTGCTGCCCAGAAGCTTAAAGATGCTTAAATTGTCCTAATGTGGATGTTGTTTTTTGCCTGCAATATTCACGTGAAGGCATAAGAAAGTTTCTAGCCTTTACCTCTCCCTTCTGGAAATGGGACTGTAATTGTAGCAGTCTTTTTCAGGTATTCTCCATAAGAAAAGAGAGCTATTTTAAGTTTTACTTTATAGCTTCATTTTCCATTCCATTTTTTAATGGGGAGAAGGTAATTTCTCTTAATTATGTAGGGTGAAAAACGAACTTAGAAAGAACTAGAATAGTTATCAGTGTTACCCTCACATCACTGAATCCCTGTAAGTAGCCCAGCCCAGACTTTGGATAACTCTTCAGGCCCTGCCACAGGGAGGCCTCCTGGGCTAGGGAGAACCTCACCCAGGAACACTCTGCAGCTCGCAGCCCCTCACTGGTTAGTTCTTTAGAAAGGGAACTGTCCTCAGTTAGACTTACGTTTCTCACCTCCAAATTAAGGACCTGAATAAGCCTTGGACTTTCCCGACACTCTGGAAATCTGACATCCTGTGCCTTGGGATGAAGTTATGGTTGGATGCCCAGTCTGCTGGAGGTGTGGCCACTAGAAATACACTGAGTACTATGAGCTGTGAGGGCCAGTGCAGACAGCTGGCCTTCTGGTTCTTCTCTTACACCCACTTTGATCAGATTAATGTCATCATCTTCCCCCTGGTTAAGTGAGGCTGAAGAAAAAGGATTACTGAAATAGGCAGAGATAAGAGAAATGCTTTGTTGGACTTTCTGTATTTTGACAGTCATCAGACCATTATTGTTGAACGTTTATTGAGCTCTAACAATGTGGTAGGTGCCACACACAACATCAGACACAGACAGTACCTGCCCTGCGGGCTTACAATCTAACCTATGGACATGAATAATTTCTCAATGTTGCCATGAGCCTGCAGTTCATGAAAATGAGGTATTAACTGCACTGTTTAGTGCAGGGAAAGAGCTGATGGAATCACACTGGCTTTTTAGCAGGTTTCCTTATGCAAGTAGGCACAGTTGCTTTTATTATTTATTCTCTCAAAGTATGGTTGGTATTTCCCCAAATTTGGTGATTTTGTGACATGTACAAGCATCAGTGAAGATGGAGCCACCATACTAGGATATCAGCCTAGCTTTACTCTAGATGAAAAAGGCTGGATATATTTTTTAGGCAAACTCAGTTACTCAAAACAGGCCCTTGGAAAAAATGAGGGCAAAGCTCCTTTTTCAGTGTTCTGAGAACATCCAGCACAGCAGCTCCTCGGGGCGGTCCCTCAAGTGCCCTTACCCTCATGGTTTCCTGTCCTATGCCCCAGAGGTGCCATGAACACTGGCTGGCTTCTTTTTGGGCATCTGCCCCTGTGAAGGTGTGTCTGAGGGCAGGGCCCTTCAGTGCCTCCTGGATCACAACCCAGAGGTGGTAATGGCCCTTGGCAATATATCATATAAATTTATAACCCTATCTCCAGAGTAGCAAAAAAGTACCACAGCTCTGGAATGTATCAGCAATTTGTAAAAATACAGCTTGTTAAAATATCTGCCACTGACAAAAATTCATAAACATGATGCTTATAAAAGCTTGTCCTTTTCACGTTAACGTGAAGTGGTAAGTCACACTTCCCTGCTAACTACTTAGTAGAATAAACGGATTCCATGTGGAAGGAAAGGTAAGATAAATGATGTGTTTCAACCACTTAGTTCCGTACCCTTGTTTCTGCTGTGCTTCCCCGAATCTATCTTTTGTCTCGTCATCATTTTCGTCCTGATGGACTAATAATTGATCCCTATAACACTGAAATTCCCAGTCCTTCCTTTATGTGCATCTTGAATTGCAACATGCTTTGAAGATGCAGACTCTAGGGCTGCGTTTTGAAACCATACAAGCCTCCCTAGGGAACCCTGTCACAGGAGCCTTTACATCTATCTGCCCTGGGGCTGTGATACCCTTCCTACGGCGCTCTTCCTCTGTGCTTATGAAAAGTATTAAAAAAGACCAGCTGGCACATTTGGAATGTGTGTTAGGAACAAGAACACAAGTACAGAGAGAGGCTCTTGCCTTCTCCTTTGCAAACCTGGATTATGCTGATGAGCCATAATTCTAAAAAAATATTGTTTCATTTGAAAAGGTGGTCTGCATGTACTTAACCATTTTGTAAAGAGTACCATTGTCTGACTCCCCAAGTTAACAACTTCATCTTAAAAAACAACCCTTAGTATATTTTTTTAAGTTGCTGGAAAAGAAAATAAAGTTTTATGAAGAAACAAATACATAATGAGAAGGCTTTGAACTCTTGCTCCAGGGAATGGGTGACTCATAAATGAAGCTGAGGTCTGAAATGCTGTTTTGTTTGTTATGCTAAAAATACTTCTGCTTTCTAAACTCTGTATTTTCATTTTTTATTGAAACATAAATGTAAGCATCAACAAGGTCCATATGTGAAATAGCCAGAATGCAAATCAGACAAAAAAAAATTATTTTATTTTTTGGGGGTGGTTGTTAAAACAAATCATCAGTGTATGAATTCCTGGGGTGGTGCTAAGGGTTAATATGCTTGGCTGCTAAAGGGAAGGTTGGAATTTCATGGCCCCTCACAGGTGCCCTGGAAGAAAGGGCTGGTGATCTACTTCTGAAAAACCAGCCACTGAAAACTCTGTGGAGCTCAGTGCTACGCAGGGGTCGCCTGCGTTGGCACTAACTTGATGGTGACTGATTTTGGAAATGCTTGGTATAGGGTACTGGAATGGCTGACAAACATAGCTGGCACAGTAGAGCCACACTCAAGAAGGTGTCACTGACAGAAATTATATACAGAATGGCTTGAAGGTCAGTGATACAGTAATGACTGATGATCTGAAAGCACTTTCTCTCCAGGTGAGACTGGCTGTGGGCGCACGCATGCAGGCTGAATGACCCATTCAGAGTATACTGTGCGTCCACCTGAACACAGATGTCGTGCTTACGCCTCTTTTGTTTTATGCCACAGGCTCAGTTTTCCCACATTGGTGCGTCTCTTCATGCTAGAACTGCTTATGTCTACAGAGTCCCTGAAGATGTGAAAATGGTATTTTTAGTATTAAACATAGCATATGGAGTTCTTCCTCAGCTTTTGGCCTATCGTTGTATCTACCAACCAGAATTCTTCATAAAAACAAAGGCAGATGAAAAAGTTGAATAAAGACATCACTTCCTGCTCCACCTCTCTTACCTTATTGTACTGATGTTGTTATTTTGTCCCATTTTATTCTCTTCTCCTGTCTGTATACTTAACTTTTGCTCTGCACTGTGTGTGTGAGCTATAATGTGGTATTGTATAAGTAAATGTTTTGTCTTTTTCTGAAGGAAAATTGAAGTTCTGAAAAGAAAAATTATTTGTAAATGAATCTGATCATCTAAATACTGTTTGTACACCACATTAAATAACTGTTAGTGTGAAACATTAAAATTTATTTCCTAAAACAGTGAGCATGAAGATGAATTATTCAAAAGTGAAGAGTCTATGCATTATTTAAAATTCAAAGCAACAAATGCAGATTGTAGGGTTTTTGCTTTTAAGCTTCATTGTCAACCTTAATATAAAAGGCAGACCATCAAAATATTTTTAAATGTTTTACTAAGGAAAGTAAGGTCTTTTGTTACATTCTGCTTCCTGAAACTTGCTTTTACCATTTGTGAGTGTGTGAATTTAGTTAGCTAAAGGAGGATCAATTACCTTTAATAAATACTTGTAATATTGGTGAAAATACTTCTATTGTGTTTCTGTATATATATTTTAATAACATTATTTTTGGTCTTTTATGAAGACAAATTTTATTACATTTGAAGTATTTTCTGTATTTTAAATGTCAAGTTTTATCATCTTTGGCTTATTGTTTTTTTTAAAAAAAATTCTGCCAACTATTTAAAATGCCATGTAGGTTTTCCTTATGTTTTAAGTATGAGCAGTGGAGAGTCCTGATGATCTGACATTAATATTCAAATTGAGACGTACTGTTTTAAAAGGAAAAACAACTGGTCAGGAAGGCATATCTACTCTTTTTTATACGCTTTTCAAGTGGGAAATTGTGTGTTAGTAAAATAAAGAAAATTCCATTGCTAAATGAGGCAAAGAAACCACAGCTCGAGGTGCCACCTGTGTGCTGCAGGGTGGAAAGGGGACAAGTGCTTTTGTGCCCTCTGCTGCCGCCATCAACTCCACCATCATCAGTGGTCCTGGGCTTTCAAGACTGCTCAGTTTCTCTTTGATTGTTAGCTTTTTACCAACATAATAGCAAAGGAAAATGGGGTGTACAACCAATACATGGACAATGTCAGTGTGAACTGAGGGTTCACTGACCTGCTAGGGATTATTTTAATGGTAATCATACTGTCATTTCCCCCAGGTATTTTCAAATAATCCAAAACCCAGAATGGGTTGTTGCTTTTTTTTTTTTTTTAAATCCCTTACCTGCACTTGATTCTATGTGTCAACTTGCTGTTAACAACTTTTGCTTTAAGATAGGAATGATATTAATACCTCACTATTACATATATGAAGCCAAGTTACACTAACATAGTTGCTTACAACCTCAAATCTTACTCCCAGTACACATTCCAATAAATTTATTCTGTAAAAACAATACATTTTTTTGATTTTGATTTTTTTTTTACAGTAAACTTTCAACTACAAACCTTGAATACGCGAAAGATGTTCCAAAGACAAGCATAACAGGATTGATAAAACCCAAACTGACTAAATGTGTTCTCACAATATAAGCTGGCATAAAAATAAATAAAATTCTCTATTATCACAATAGCAACAATCATGTACATATAATAATGTTTTGTGGAATGAATAGTAACTATTCTAATTTGAGTTCCAAAACAGCTGATTTTAAAAGTTGGTATTTTAAAGTCAATGCTTTGCCTGATTTCTCATAGGACTGCTGCTGATTCCAGCTCCCAAAATACTCACCTTGAGTTATTATTATTAGCTTAAACTGTATTGGCGTTGGGAGAAAAATAAATCACTGCCTTTATTCTGGAGTAACACAAAAAGACCCACTAACGTCACACAGAGAAACTGAGTTGGTGTACATAACAACATGAGTTTGAGAAGTATCAGCTCTCAACTAGCTATCTCTAATATGGAATAGATATTTTACAATATGGTTAAACTTTACACATACATGGCCTCAAGACTGAAGGACAATTTTAACTTCATCTTCAATGTACCAACATACTGTGTATGTAGGAATGAATTCCTGGGTTGGTCTGTCATAAGAAAGGAAATTCCATCTGTAAGCACTGAGTAATGATGTAAAAAATGTTAATTTCTATTTAACTGTTTGGCGATGGCGGGGTGAAGGCAGGAGAATGAGCACAACTGCCTTAATAAAAGGATCCTAGACATGTAGTAAGTCTGTGCAAAAATCTTCATCATCCTTAGTGGTTAAGAGCAACTTCATGCAACCAAATAACATTAAATTAAATCAATAACCTTAAAAAAGGCTAAAATGTCTTTTTGTTTTCTTCCAAACACAACAGAGGAATGTAAATAATGTACATACAAACTGGGGTCTGTCAATGACAACAATGAGTGTGTTGGTTCATATCAAATCCAAGAATAGTGGACAACCTTCTTGTAGTTCCTCTCAATATGCAGCATTCTTTATGGTAGTTAGGTCTGTAGGGGGGGAGGGGGGAAAATAAAACAAACCTTTAAATGACTTAGGATACTGGCTCGGAGAGCTAGCCACACTATCTCACGCATAACTGATTTTTGAGATCTTAAGTTGTACTGTCGGAATAACAATGCTTGGCAAGCACAGCTTCTGAAGCTTTTGCTTTATACAGAACCTTGCAAAAACTTAAAGGAATATAAAGTCTGTAAATTTTCACTGAAATAAAAAAAAAAAATTAAAAGACCCCCCAAAAAACCCCCAAAACTTAAAGGAACTATAAGGCCTTTTCAGTATTCTCTAAAAAGTAAAGAAAAAAAAAAGAATGCACATTCTCTCCTATGTAGTGGAACCCAGACCATAGTAGCACATACTCTGCACACCTCTGTGGCTGGGAGACACAAAGTCAGTGAAGAAATGGAGGTAATTCTCTCTGTGGGGATGGTGCTATGAGGAAGCATGGTAATGGCTTAAAATTGAAAAGCTTTTGGCGTGTATACAAATTATTCTGCTTAATACTTCTAACCTGTGAGAAATGGTTCAAAGTAGTACGTTTTGTTCAAAGTCAACATTTTGTTCCTCTATCTGTCCCATCCCCCCCAAAAAGTGATACAACAGAGTACAGAAAGTATTGAACAATACTACTATCAAAAGCAAGTACAATCTCATGGAAGATTATTTTAAAATTATTTGGACAGTACATGATGACAGAGAACTATTAAGAAATTCAAGCTGGATTCAGAACAAGTTGGACAGCAAGGGCTAGCTTTGTTAATGCCAGGTAGATCCTGGCTGAAAGAGATTTGTTGCTGTTGTTATGTGCCGTCGAGT